TGTGATGTCACTGGTCTTCAGTGATGTCACTGATGTATCTGTGATGGCACCACTGTCCCCTGTGATGTCAACCATGTCTCTGATGATGTCTCTGGTGTCTCTGTGATGTCACCACTGTCGTTGTGAAGCCACCAATGTCCCCTGTGATGTCAGCAATCTCTCTTTGACATCACGACTGTCCCTTTATTGCCAGCAGTCCCCTGTGATGTCACTGGTCCCAAATGATGTCACTTATATATCTGTGATGGCACCACTATCCCCTGTGATGCCACCAGTGCCTCTGCTGATGTCACTGGTGTCTCTGTGATGTCACACCTGCCCTTGTCATGTCACCAATGTCCCCTGTAATGTCACAGATGTCCCTGTGACATCACAGCTGTCCCTTTGTTGTCAGTAGTCTCCTGTGATGTCACTGGTCCCCAATGATGTCACTACTGTCCCTGTGATGTCATCACTGTCCCCAGAGGTGTCACCATGTCCCCATGATGTTAACAATTTCCCTGTGACATCATGGCTATTCCCTTGTTTTTACCAGTCACCTGTGATGTCACTGGTCCTCAGTGATGTCAATCATGTCCCTGTGATGTCACCAGACCTTTTTGATGTCACTGATGTCCCTGTGACATCACGACTATCCCCTTGTTTCAACCAGCCCCCTGTGATGTCACTGGTCCCCAATAATGTCATTGTTGTCCCTGTGGTGTCACCGATATCCTTATGATGTCACCAGACCCCTGTGATGTCACCGATGTCCCTGTTATATCATGTCTTTGTTGTCACCAGTCACCTGTGATGTCACTGGTCCCCAGTGATGTCACCCATGTCCCTGTGATGTCACCACTGTCCTCTGTGATGTCAGCAATATCCCCAATGATGTCACTGGTGTCTCTTTGATGTCAACCATGTACTTGGGATGTCACTGATGTCCCATGTGATGTCACTGATGTCCCATGTGACATCACGACTGTCACTTTTTTTCACCAATTCCCTGTGATGACACTCGTCCCCAATGATGTCGTCAATGCCCCGTTCATAAAGGTTAGGGTTTAGGGTTTGGGTTACAGTTAAAGATAGGGGTTAGGGTTAAAGGTTAGAGTTAGGGTTTAGGCTTTAGGGTTTAGGGTTTGGGTTTGGGTTATCATTAGGGTTTAGGGTTTTGTTTTGGGTTAGGGTTAAGTGATGCCCAAAAAGGCAGATAAAAAAACTGCTTAAAGGCAGAATTTTGAGCCTATGAACAGCAGGTATTTATTTGCAACATCGGGGTAGCTTCCAGCTCAGGCTGGACAAAAAGCTCCGAAGTGGTTCAGTAAAAACAAGCAATTTATACAGTTTCTAATCATGATTACAACATAATCATATGCATAATCATAGTATTGCATCATTAGATTACAATATTCATAGCAGGTGGAGTCGGGGTGGAGATTGAGGCGTGGTCTCTATTTTGAGGAATATTATGGTGGGAGTTCCTGCCTGCCTTCATCCTGGGGTCTGCATTTTACTCATCTTCCTCGGGTGACATCCGTGACCTTTTGTTCTTTCCATTGTTCTGTGTTCTGATCATCCAGGTTTGAAGAAAACCTTGGCTCTAGGCCTACTTTACCTATTCAAATGTCTACCTTGGCTCCTCTGGATGAGATTTATGTGTGTTGAGTTCTTTGTCTAGTGTTTGTTGTGGTTCCTTTAAGGTCTAATGCTCTTAATAGAGAATATAGCCTTCTTGTAAAAGTACAACTTACATTAAATGAAATACAGGGGGTAAAGGGGGCTCTTGTGGGTTTACAGTAAAAGTGTTTCGATTAACCCTTCCTGCTTCATTATCAGCAATGGCACCTGTGGGACGGCTGCAAGGCTTGAGAGTGCGAGGCAAGAGCAGGAGCACAGAGAGCCTGAGGAGCCAGGAGATGCCCTGGCTGGGCATCGTGCTGCTGTGGGACGTGCTGACCCCTCTGCACAGTCTGTGCCATCCCTGCCAGCCAAGTTCTGCCCGGGCTCTGTGCACGGGGACGCAGCGCTGACAGTTTTCAGCCCCCACGCTGTTCCACAAAGGCTGGGATGGCACAAGGTCCTTGCCTGGCAGCCAGGAATTGGGCGAGGCAAGGCAGGGACGGAGCCTCTGAGCCACCAGCACGCTGTCCCAAAGGCTGGGATGGCACAGAAGCCCAGAATCCATGAGGTTGGCAGAGACTTCTGAGGTCAACCGGCGTCCAGGCTACAACTCATCCCCAGCACGTCAAGCAGACCACGGCACTGAGTGCCATGTCCAGTCTGTCCTTAAACACCTCCAGGGACGGTGACTCCACCACCTGCCTGGGCAGCCCATGTCAATACCTAATCCCTGTTTCTGTCCAAAAATTCCTGCTCCTGTCCCTGACAAACACCCCCTGACAGGCAGGTCCTCGTGTCCTCTGTATACTTTTGTGTACATCTGGTGTATGCAATGGGTCAAAGAGGGGATCCCATGAGCAAATAAGGCAGGGTTGTCTGGCATTATATTCCTAAAGGTTCTCATTCCAGGTTTAAATTCACCTTTGCTTGATCCAATAGATGGGTGAGGGATTCAATTTGAGGTAAGATGGTTACATTGATTACTTTTGATCCCATATTTTCCCTGTGACCAGTTCCCAGGAGAGGTTCCTTTGGTTTTCACTTCCAACAGTCTGTTCTGCTGAGCACATGGACAAGGTAAATAACCACACAAACAGAACTAACAAATGATAACTACAAATAACTAACAATTGATAACCACAGTTACCAGTGAACTGAACCAGAGTCCAAACCTGGGGTTTTCATTCCCTGTTCTGAATCCTTTTCTCTTGAACAGTTCCCTGTAAAAGAAAAGAAAAAGGTCTGTCCTGCCCCTTTTAGGGCCAACATTAAAATGTAGGAACAATCCCCTGAGAGCTTATTTTGTGTTCTTTGCCATGAGCACCTTTACTTTCCAGGTGTCCCTGTCCAAGGGAGGACCATTGGTAGAGCTCCTACAGAGGGCAGTGCCACCAATACAGGCTGGCCAGGAAGGGGAGAGGGTTTTTGATCATTCTCAGGCCTCAGTGCCCCCTTTGAACACAGCAAAAGAATCCCTGTAAACATATACAGAGTCAGAGGGTTCAGCTTCCTGGTTAAATACCTTCCAAACTGCTCCTGATTCTCCTGCCTGTGCCCTGCCTTCTCCTTCGGGGACTGTTTTGTCTCCTGGATGTCCCTGTAAAGCCACAGCACGATATTTCCAAACTGCCCCTTCCCGCTCAGCTGAGGCATCAGGAAACCCCCCATCCTGCAATTGCTCTGAGTGTGGGGGTGCCCCTTGAACCACAGAAGGGGGAGAATCAGCTGAGCTATTTACAGTCACCTCATCTTGTCAGGGAGGATTTTTGTGAGCTCCTTCTGTTCCCTGAAAGATGGTGCAATAATGTTCAATTTGAGCCTTCCATTTCCCAACAGGAGCTGGCTGGGCCACCCCGTCAGGGGGTGGGGTTCCTGTCAAAACAGGCTTGATGGCCTTAAAGGGTCCCCTTAAAATCAGACAATGCTGAGGGACAATTTTTCCTGCTTCCCCAAAAGCAGTGCTCCCCACAAATAAGCCCTTTTCCTAGGGAGAATATCGTTTTTGGGCATCTGTGACACTGCCTGAATAAAACCCTCCAGGCCTGGTGGTGAAGAGGACGATTGTGTCCCAGTGTGGATGTGCTGGTGTCGGATCACGTGGGAGCTGTGACTGAAGCATCATAACAGTGCAGGCCTCATAGAGTCCAAACACCTCATAAAAGGGCTGTCATCATAAAAGCTCTGTCTTCATAACACCCTTCATGTCATAATGGTGCTGTCCTCATAAACCCTCTCCATCTCATGATGGGGATGGCCTCGGAAGGTCTCTGTCCTCACAGAACCCATACACCCTATAATGATGCAGGCTTCATAAAGGCACTGTTGTCATAAACTCACACACCTCAGAGTGGTGCAGGCTTCATAGGGCCACTGTCCTCATAAGGCCCATAAACCTCCTCATGGGGCTGTCATCAGAAAGGAGATGTTCTCATAAATGCCATAAACATCATAAAGGCTCTGTCCTCATAAACACCAAAAATGTCATAAAAGCACTGTCCTCATACACCTCATACACCTCCTAATGGTGCAGCCCTCATAAAGGTACTGTCCTCATAACCTTCACACCCCTCAGAATGGTGCAGGCTTCACACCTTCTTCATCACTGTGGAGTTCCCTGTACCCACTGCCCCATCCACGGCACCCCAAGAAACACTAAACCAAAGATCACCATCCTTGATCGTGCAGACAAGACTGACTGTAAAACTGCAGAATATAAAGCCCCTCTGGGAATGGCTTGGGGGTGCTCTGATGGAAAGTTTTATTCCCATTTGTCACTAGAGCAGCATGCTAGACTTAGGGGTGGACCTGGAATTCCCTCTCTTTGCCCCAGACGTGTCTTTACTTTCACTCAAGTGCCTAAAGAACGTCCCCATCGCAGGGTTATTCCCTCTTCAAAAGCAACACAAAGACCAAAATGGGCAATTAAAGGGATTGATTTTCCAGATTATTGTACCACCAGACAAAAAGCATCCCTCTTTCTTGAGAATTTCTTTACCCCCTCTCTCACCTTAAACAGACACCAGTTTCTGTTAGAAGATATTACCTGGCAATGAAGTGTTTTAAGCAATTGGACACAGCCTGCATTTGGAGAATTAAACACTCCAGCCCAGCAAACTGCTAAGCTGACATTGCAAACCACATGAGCCTTCGCTCTGTTCCTGTTCCCAGACCAAGGTGTGTGTGGAATGTTCAGTCGATCAGAACTGAACGCTGGGTCACAGCTGACCCAAATCTCGCCGTGCGCTTTGAGCCGCTGCAACTACAACTCCCGGCGTGCCCCGCGCGGCAAAGGGGGCGGGGCTGGGGCGGACAGAGGGGCGGGACCAGGCGCTGATTGGCTGCGGCGGGGGGCTTCTGTCCAGGCGGTGCGCGCGCACAGCCCCGCGGTGGCTGCCGGGAAACGATGGCGGCTGCGGCTCCGCTGCTTTGTGAGCCCCGGCGGAGGCTGCGGCGGGGCTGGGGGTGCCCTCGGGGGCTGCGGCAAGGCTGGGGATGCCCTCGGGGGCTGCGGCGGGGCTGGGAATGCCCTCGGGGGCTGCCGCGGGGCTGGGGATGCCCTCGGGGGCTGCGGCGGGGCCGGGGATGCCCTCGGGGGCTGCGGCGGGGCCGGGGGTGCCCTCGGGGGCTGCGGCGGGACTGGGGTGCCCTCGGAGGGCTGCGGCGGGGCTGGGGGTGCCCTCGGGGGCTGCGGGGAGCGCGGCTGTGGGCGGAAAGGCTCGAGGGCTCGACAGGGTTTACGGAGGGGTTCGGGGTTTCCCGAGGTGGTTTTGAGGGGGGGTCGCGGAGGGGATTTTTCCGCCTCTGTCACAGCGCCCCCTGCCGGCTGGGCGGACCGGCCGCAGGAAAAGAGGGTCCTGATGCCCCCCCCCGAACCCCAGAGACCCCCAAGACTCAGGACCCAGACATCCCACAGGGAGAGGGGCCTGGAAGTCGCGTAAAGCCCAGCAGTGGCGCTCAGGGGGTCCCCCAGCCCCCAGGGGAGGGGTCCTGGGGGTGCTCCCTAAAGTCTGGGGGGGAGATGTACCACATCCAGGTAAGGGGGGCCCAGTGCCCCCAATACAGCTGCGTCCTGAGCCCGAGGTCAGTTTGTACCCCCGAGTGCTGATCCAGCCTGGGGACCCAGGGGATCCTGTGCCATTCCATCCATGCAGGAGCAGTCACCCTGCTGCCCTGGAGTCCCTGCAGGGGAATAAGTGCCACCTCTGTGGGAGCTGCGAGGGTGGAGGGCGGAGCGGGCGATGCCGGAGCTGGGGGACCCCCGGCAGGCTGGAGGGGGGAGCACGGAGAGGGAGGAGCCCCGGGACCCCCGGGAGCCTGAAACAGGGGGAGCGGAGAAGGGGAAGCCTGGAGAGTGGGGATCCCTGGGACAACAAGGTGGAGAACCTGGAGAGGGGGAATGTCTGGGAAGGCGGCACCCCAAAGGTGAGAGTCATAGGAGAAGGGACCCTTGGGACCCCCAGCACTCCCAGCATCCCTAAGTGGGACCCCCAACATCCCAGACAGGGAAGACCCTCTGAACCCCAGAGGGGAGAGACCAGAGAGGGGGAACTCCTGGGAGAGTTTTTTTGTGCTAATCTTGATAGTTTTGGACTATTTTTAGCTGAATCCCAACTTTTTGCACTTGGAGGTCTTCTTGCTTTTTCTAAAGAGTTTTTTTGCCTGAATGCTGGTGGTTTGGGTTTTTCTGGGCTGAATCTTGGTGTGTTGGAGGTTTTTATGGTCCCAGGATGCCCGGTGAGCTCTCGAGATGGACTTGGGCAGGAGGAAGCCCCAAACCATCGTGCTCAGCCCTTGTTTCCCCCCAGCAGGATTTGTCCTTCCCAAAACTTGGGCAGATGGAGGAGGACACTGTGAGCAAGAGGAAGATTCCGTGGGCCCCCCAGGAAGGTGAGGAGGAAGTCAGTGCCCCTTTGGCCCTGTCTTGTGGTACCTGTGGCAGCCGAGCATCGCCCCCGGCTGCAGGACAACCCCGCTGGCGCTGCCATCCTGCCAGGGCTGGGTCTGGGGGATGTCTTTGGCCTTCCCTCTGGGCCGGAGGCAAATCCCCTGCCTGTCCTTCTTCCTTCCTGCCCCAGGCCCCGAGCTGAGGACGGAGAGCACGGAGGACAAATCCCCCCGGCAGAGCCTGGTGGGAGAGGCCGTTTTGAAGGGCTCCCCGGCGCAGGAAGGCAGCGGGGAGGAAAAGGCCCAGAGATGCCCCTGGAGGAGGGGCTGCAAAGCCAGCCCAGGGAGCTCTGAGGAGGAAAGACCCGTCCTGTGCCGGGAAGGCGGCCGGAGCTTGAGCCAGAGCTCTGAGCTGGTGGTCCCTGAGCAGCCTCCCAGCAGAGAGAAGCCCTTCAGGTGCTTGGAATGTGGGAAGAGCTTCAGGGAGAGCTCCCACCTTCTCAGCCACCAGCACATCCACACTGGGGAACGGCCCTACACATGTGGGGAATGTGGGAAGGGCTTCACCCAGAACTCCACCCTGATCCAACACAAGCACATCCACACTGGGGAACGACCCTACACGTGTAGGGAATGTGGGAAGAGCTTCAGGAAGAGGTCCAAGCTCCTCAGCCACCAGCACATCCACACTGGGGAACGACCCTACACGTGTAGGGAATGTGGGAAGAGCTTCAGGAAGAGGTCCAAGCTCCTCAGCCACCAGCACATCCACACTGGGGAACGGCCCTACACGTGTGGGGAATGTGGGCAGAGCTTCAGGCAGAGCTACACCCTGATCCAACACCAGCACATCCACACCGAGGAACGGCCCTACACGTGTGGGGAATATGGGAAGAGCTTCAAGCAGAGACCTGCCCTGACCCAACACCAGCACATCCACACCGGGGAACGGCCTTACAGATGTGGGGAATGTGGGAAGAGCTTCACCCAGAGCTCCACTCTGATGTGACACCAGCGCAGCCACACTGGGGAACGACCCTACCCGTGTGGGGAATGTGGGAAGAGCTTCAGGGACAGCTCCAGGCTCCTCGCCCACCTGCGCATCCACACTGGGGAACGGCCCTACATGTGTAGGGAATGTGGGAAGCGCTTCTCCAAGAACTCCAACCTCTACAACCACCGGCGCATCCACTCCGAGGAACGGCCCTACACGTGTAGGGAATGTGGAAAGAGCTTCAAGCAGAAATGTGCCCTGACCCAACACCAGCTTTTCCACACTAAGGAACGGCCCTACACATGTGGAGAATGTGGGAAGAAGTTTCAGACCAGCTCAACTCTCCTCAGGCATGAGCGGACACACACAGGGGAGAGGCCCTTCCGCTGCACCAACTGCGGGAAGGGCTTCACCCGGAACTCCACCCTCGTCACCCACCAGCGCACCCACACCAGGGAGAGACCCTACAAGTGTGGGGAGTGTGGGAAGAGCTTCACCTCAAGCTCTGACTTGACCAAACACCAACGGACCCACCGGTAAGAGAAGCTCTACGAGTGCCTTGACTGTGGGAAGAGCTTCAGCCGCTGCTCCCACCCTGAATGCCCCCCCGATGGTGAGGCATCCCCTGGAGTCCAGTGACTGTCAGTCCATCACTTTCTACCAGAAAGGGCCAGTCCCCTTTCCCAGGGGCAGGTTCTGCCAACAGAACCCTTCTTGGGGGTGTGTGGAGATTCCTGCCTTGGCTGGGGACCCCCCAAGGTCAGTGCTGGAGGTTGAGAGCAGAGATCTCCCCACGAGCGATGGTCTGGGGGAGTTCCATCCATCTCTAAGTCATAATTCTTACTTTGGTGCCAGCTTGAGTAGAATTGCTTCAACAATTGCTTTAGTGTAGAGCAGTGTCCTGTCTTATGCTGTACTACTGGTAGTTTTAGTGTTTCTATTGTGCAGAAAATAATTCTGATGAAGATCTTCTGTCTGATCATTTGTAACCCTAAGTAATTCATTTCTATCAATAGATCTGATTTGCCATCCTTAAAACCTGGGGGACAAAAGTGGTTCAGTCCCACCTCTGTAATTCCTCTAAACTGAAAGTGTTGGCATAACCCAAGGCTGAGATTGGATCCAGCAGCCCCAGCACTCCACAGTCAGTTGGAAGCTCAGGTGGGCTCCTCACTTTCCCAACTTCCCTCTACCCAAAGACCCCCATGGGAGCTTTGGATCCACCAGACCACTCCCCCTTTTTCACCCTTCTCCCTGTTCCTCCCACTTTTCCATGGTCCCCTTCTACAATCTGCTAAAATATTGCAGAAAGAACTTCAGATTTGAATATTCCCTTGAGCAAAATTAAAACTCACACAAGTTTCCTGTTGATACCAAAACCTGATTTTTATTAATTGCTAAGAGGTGCAAAGAGAAAGAAAAAAATAAGAAAAGGTTGGAAACTGCTAAGATTACTCCTAGAAGCAGAGAAAAGATACCACTGAAAAGTACCTTTACCTACTGAGCTGGTGTGTGTGTGGGGGGAGAAGCAGTTTCTGCCTTTCTTTTCTCTATCCCTGCAGCTTTTGGATGTTGTCTCTTTAGCTGCAGGGGGTCTGACAGCTTTAGTTCTCTGCAATGCACCATGTGTGGTTTCACTGCTCACGCCCCTGTCCCAGGCCATGCAGGGTCTCTGCTCAGCCGAAGCTTTGGGCCCTCAGAAATATGGTCAGGGTAGAAGGATAAGGTAGAACTCCCACATGTGGCACGGTGGTCTGAGCTCTCTCCAGGCCGGCACAGTTCCAGTCTCCGGTGGCAGGCAGGCAGCACGCGGTGCCAGAGAAAAGGGGAGGGGAGGTGGGCAGAGACTCTCGGCTACAGTCACGAGTTCTTCTCCCTTTCCTCTCCCTCATTTTCCAAAATTTGTCCTCAGCTTTTATAGTGTTCAAAGGAGGTTGAACATGGTTTTTTGGCACGTAGCCAGTTCAGATGTTGGAAGAAATATGATAACCATAAACAATGGCAGGTTCTTTTGGCAGGAAAAGTGCTGTGGGAAGTCCTGGTGAGAACTACTGTCAGAGAACTGATAGAGAATGTTTGGTAGGAAGTTTTTGACAGGCAGAAACAATTGAGAAACAATTTTCGGCATTTCTGTATTATCTGTGTGGTTGCCGTGGTAAGCGACGTAACAGGGAATGCATAATGGTTACCATGGTAACCGACCATAGTGATGGGGATGTATGATGGTTGCCATGATAACCGTCCATAGGAAATGGAATGCATAATGGTTGCCATGGTAACTGACCGTAGCAATGGGATAATATGATGGTTTCCATGGTAACCGGAGTATCAATAAGAATTCATAATGGTTTGCATGGTAACTGAGGTATCAATGGGACTGCATAATGGTTGCCGTGGTAATCGACTGTAACAATAAGAATACATAAGAGTTGCCATGGTAACAATGGGAATGCAGAATGGTTGCCATGGTAACCTAGGTACCAATGGGAATGCATAATGGTTGCCATGGTAACCACATGTAACAATGAGAATGCATAATGGTTGCCATGGAAACTGATGTCACAGTAAGAATGAATAATGGTTGCCATGGTAACCGCTTGGAACAATTAGAATGCCTAATGGTTGCCACGGTAACTGATGGAACAATGAAAATCCATAATGGTTGCCATGGTAACCACTTTTAAGAATGAGAATGCTTAATGGTTGTCATGGTAACCAGGATAACAATGAGAATTCATAATGGTTGCCATGGTAACCTAGGTAACAATGGGAATGCACGGTGGTTGCTGTGGTAACCGACATAATGATTTGAATGCATAATGATCCCATGGTTACTGATGTAACAATACTGTGTATAATAGTTGCCGTGGTAATCGACCTAACAATGAGACTGCATAATGGTGTCCATGGTAACCAAGGTCATAATGAGAATGCATAATGGTTTCCATGGTGTAAGGGGGTACTTTTTATTCAGATGATCAATGGAGCACAGAGAGGTGACAAAGTGATTATATTCTCATGTGAAACCTGCCAGAGTGTTGTACAAGGTAACTTTATTGCACAAGTTCACTGTAAGGCCCATTGTGCCTTTAGCAAAGTTAACAGGATGTCCCCCATTATCAGAGCTGAGCTCCTCCTTGGCTTGGCTCCACTCTACAAGAAAGAAAAATCTCCTTGGAACACAATGGTACAGGTCATCCATAGGGCTGAGGAAGGTGATGGAGAGGAAGATGATGTGGGCAGGGGTCGTTGGCCCCTTGCCCTACAGTGGGGCACACCCAGACAGTTGCCATGGGGTGATGAACAGGCGCTGTTTGGCTGCCACTCAAGCACCACCTTCTGCTGTGTCCTGGCCCTACGTAGTGTAATGTAGAGCTGATGGAATGGGGTGTCAGCACTGCTGGGTGGAGCGATGCTCATCCTTCCATCCACACTGTGCTGCTCTGCGGGGACACCCGCCAAGCACGGGCACCGACCAGCCCTGCAGACCTGGTAGGCCTGGCCTGTGTGTGCAGGTGAGCACAGTTTATTGATAGGAAGCCACCAAGGAAGCAAACATTTTATATCCTTTTTTTTGTATCCCTTTAATTCCCTTTTTACTAGTGAATGCTGTAATAAAAGCTGTTTGTAGTATTGTATGCATGGCAACTGATAATGTAGTGGGTTTGTATTTTTCAACTTTTGATTCTCTTTGCTAGTAGGGTTTTTTTTTTTCTCACTGCAATAAAAGTTTTTGGTAGTGTTTGAATGACTGTTGTACTTGTCTTTACTCCGGGCACGGATTCAAACTAATTAATACAGAAGGGACTGGCAAGAGGATTCAGGGGGTTCTGGGTGGGCTGGGGGAGACCAGGACGGGGTTTGTGGGGTCCTGGGTGGTCTATGGGAGGTTTAGGGGGTTCTGAGCCCCCCGGCTCCCCCCAGAGATGCCACAGGACACCGTCCACAGCAAGATCCTGGTGGGGGTCGGGGGCTTCGTGTTGGGTTTCGTCTTCCTGGCACTGGGGCTCGGCTTCTACCTGTGGGAGAAGGTAAAGGGGGGTCCCCGGGGGTCGTGTCCCCCCTTCCCCAGAGCATGTGTGCCCCCCTGCCCCTCCAGCCTGCTGTCACCCCTTTTCTCTCCCCACAGAGCTTCTGAGCCGCCGGCGGCTGCAGCCCCTCCCCGTGGCCTCGGGCCCAGCCTGGACCCCCCATTCCATCCCCTCCCAGAGTTTGGGGGGGTCGTGTGTCCCCCGGCCCTGCTTTTGTTCTCACACCAACCGCCTGCTCCCAGTGCTCCCAGTAAAGCTTCCCAGTTCTCTGCAGCCCTGGTGTTGAAGGGCAGGTGCCCTCCCAAGGCCCCCCCAGAATCAGCTTATGCAAACTGTACAATGGTTGGCACCCGTTGTCTTTCTGCTTCCAGGAGTGTGTATTTTTCTGCCATGTCTGGTTCAATGTTTGTGCAGCTTAAGGGCTCAAACTGTGTCTGCTTTGTTTAAAGAAAAAGGGGGAAGTGTAGGGATTTTTAGTGCTAACATAGAGGATATGCTGCAGATGTGAGAATGCAATCTTATATTGCTAACTACAGGATATGCTGCAGCTGTGAGAACATAACCTTATGTTTCAATTGTGAAAACATGATCTGTTGTTCTGATGGCCTTCTGATGGTACCAGGATGGGAAAGATCTACCAAGAGAAGCAGTAGCAAAACTGGATATAGAAAACAGGGTCTCAGTACCGGCTCTCAGAGTGGGAAAGGACATAAAGAATGTTAAAGAAACAGAGCTGATAGAAGAGTATTGTTAGAAAACTGGATAAAAGACTGCTGCTTGATTCCAATCAACAGTGCTCTCTGATCATCACATTGGTGTGCTGAGTCGTCCGTGCTCGCATGAAAACCCCCCAGGCAGGTGCCCTCCCAAAGGCCCCCAAAACATCCCCAACATCCCCAGTGATGTCACCACTGTCCCATGTGATGTCACTGGTGTTCCCAATGATGT